GTGCTGACATTTGCAACACATTTCAAACGTTGCATAAAATATGTTGACAGTATAATGCTCAATTAATTTAAAATGTTTTTTTATCAATTTTTACAATTTTATTACAAAGTATTTTATTTTGAAACTAGAAAGGAGTAATAAAATTAGGTCCCACAGCTTATTTTGCCCTGGGGATCCCTAAGCAGGTTAAATCCGTTCACTCGTGAGAAATAATAAGTAATAGGATAACTCGACTTGACTGTTACAGTATCATTTCACCACTCTAATGGTTGCTCCCTTCTGTTGCAGGTGAACTACAAGTCAGACCTGAACTGGATCAAAGGAGTGGGCTGGACCCCTCCCGGCTCCCACAAGGCCGAGCTCGCCCGCCGTGCTGCAGAACTAGGGTTTGCTGAGGGAGTCAGCACTGATGAGGCTATTGCAAAGTATCAGCACATGATGATGGTGAGGGAAAATGGAGATTAATTAATATATAATAACAATATAGTGTGCAGGTGTCTTTTTAACCCCCACCCCAATCCTTTGTTCAGCTGCACCACCAGCAGCAGTTGGAGCAGCAGCAGCAGCAGCAGCAGAGTTCTGAGCAGGTAGAGACCAGCGAGGAGATTCAACAAGGCGTCAACATGGACGCCATGGAGGTCCTTCACGTCAAGAGGAAGAAGACCATCCAGACCGTACAGAAAAAGTCAACCACCACCACCTCGTTCAAATCCATGGAGAAGAAGTCCAGCACCACCTCCTCCACCTCCTCATCGGCTGCTCTCCAGAACACAATCAAGATGTCCACGTCTAGTAAAGCTGCTGCAATCGAAGACGCGTAGAACCGAGAAGTTTTTATAGATGATAGTGAGTAGAGAACGTTAAAGACACCCATTTTCAGAAATTGTGGTTAACTAATACTAAGTGATATGTGTGGTATCTACTTGATGAGCGACTGTTGTTACACTGTAGTTACATGAAATGCCACAAAAAATGTCAAACAGAGCTACTGTAGGTGCAACAATGTACTGGAAAATGTAGTTAAAATGATTACAGAAGGGATTAGGTATGTTAAATCAGGACAGGACTTTAGTCAAGTTAGTTAAAAGGATTGTCGTGGTATGTGGTGAGCAAAAGGGAATTCGGAAAAAAACAAGTCGAATGCAAGGTATTTTTTGACATTTTATTAAAACTTCTGAATGGGTTAAATTGCCTCTAAAGGACCATGTTCAACACCAGTTAGAGCAAAAAAAATCAAGGATACCAAAACTGAATTCAGGTTATTATAATCCAAAGGTGATACTGTATGAAATATCAAATGGAAAGTTTGCATTTTGCTTTTGTATATTGAGTGTGTTTAGAACATGTGAAGCTGGACCAGAGATCGCTATAAAGGCCAGCACTGCAGAGGATTTTTTTTCATCATTTGTTTTATTTTTTATTTTTAGAGGAGAACACATGCAACAAGGTCAAGTGAGCAAACAAAACCTAGTCGCAGCCCTGCAAAACATGCAGTTTTATTACGTGGTCTGCAAATCTAGTGCACTTTGAGCTAGGCTCAGTGAGAAAGAAGTATAGGCCGACTGAAATGATGAGCGATCTACATTTTGTCTGGCAGGTTCAGCTTCGTGAGTTTGTATCAGTGCCCCTTTTAACTCAAAGCTGGGCTGGGAGTAAATGCTTGGTTTTACTGCTGATAAAATAAACTGTTTTTTAAAGGCAAACTATGCTGAGGTCTGTTTTTCTTCCCCAACAACACCACACTGATTACAGACCCACTGTAGCTCAGTTAACTAATGTTCAGTTAATCTTGCTTTTGATCCAGCTGATAAATGAGCGGACGTTGGCGTAGACACCAGGCTTGTTCTTCTGACCACAGCCGTCGCCCCAACTCACCACACCTGTGATATAATGTGTGCCATTTTGCTCACAGACCAAGGGTCCACCTGAGTCGCCCTGTGGAGTTAGAAAGTGCAAGTTAAGGCCACAGGGGAAATAATTAATGCATATTTCACATGTGCCAAAAAATCTGAAATATGTCATCTTCAATCTTAACACCCATAGCCTTGAGGGCAGCTATGGTAGCTATGCAAATGTATTAACAGCCCTTAAATGTGGATTCTTCAAATTCATAAACATACACACCTGACAGGAGTCGACGCCCCCCTGCAAAGTCCCTGCACAGAACATGCTGCTGTCTAGTACACTTCCATAGATTTGAGGAGTTTTGCATCACTCATCAGAGATCAGGAAAACTCGAGCATTCAACAGCTGACTGCTGTACCTCTCTGAAAAGTGGATGACAGTCAGAAACAAACTGAGATCTAAAGGAACTATTTCACTGATGGCATTTTGACATTTTATTGTTTATTACAGAGGTGTAATGAAATTGGCTGAATTAAATTTAGCTGCTTCGGTTTCAGGGTCCTAGTGTTAGTAATGCTAATTCACTTTAACACTGTCATGGCTTACTGTCGCATGATTAAAGTGATTTCCTTTTCCTGCTATGACAAGTCAGAATGTAAAAAGATTTAAACTAGTTTAGAGCTAATGACAGCATTACAAAACTGTATTGTCTAAAATTCGATTATGAAAAATCATTTGAGAAAATGCCATAAAGATAAGCTAAAAGGGCCTCCACCAATTTCACACATGAACATCTATTATGTTGTCATGAAGAATACTCATCAACCTCTAAATACAGTTGTATAATGTTTTCTGTAGCTTTGTAGCGAACCTTCGAGCATTAAAAAATAACCCTGATGATGTCATAGTGATGAGTTACAAACTGGAGGTGTAGAGTTTGAGACTACAAGTCCCCCAACTTTATGGAAATGTAATGCTGAATTCCTATTTTATCAAAATAATGTTTATACGACATGAAAGAACTTTTGATAAATAGTTAATTACGGGTTTCAGTGGCTCCCCATCCAGAGATCACACACTATTTTCCAGCTGGGAAGGTCTGGTCTGGCAGACACACTGTCTTCACAAAGCGGGTCTCCTTGGCACAGTAAGGGCTGTCCGTAACTTTGAGCTTAAGCAGAGCTACACAGGAAATTAGCAGATACAAGAAGTGGCATTCATTTAATTTATGAATCACTTTTACAGCATTATATTCCTAGAATGCAGAAAAACTAAAGATAACATAGTGACAATTTCGGTGAAATAAAAAAAAAACAGAAGAATGAATGACCGGAAGGTTTGAATATAAGTAGTTTAGCTATATACTTTATGTATACTGTACATGTGTCAGCTAATGTGTGATAGATGCCTAAAAGGATGCTTCACACTAGCTGACACAAAGACTGTTGCCAAATCTGTATATTACTTACATTCTTCTCTATGGTCTATCTAGATTAATATTGATACTATATTTGATAAATGTGACAAACCAATGTCGTTATAAAGAGCAGCAGGCGTGTCTCTGTAGTTCTCATGAACAATTGTTTGTATTACTGGGATGGTCTGGTCCATCTCCTCCTGTTTGTCTAAGTTCACTCCTCCCAACACCACTTGGTATTCCATAGTGTCTTCACTAAAAAAAAAAAACAACAAAACATGAGCTTATAGTAGAATAATAATAAATAAACTGGAAATGCAAACACAATACAATACCTACATGCAGTGGGCAGCAGTGAGGACCCAGCAGGATGAGAGGAGGATCCCACCACACATGTGGGAATACTCAAAGGATGAGCTTTTTGGTCTGGACTGCATGGACACCTGCCAGGGGTGGGCACCAGGGAAAGATTTGCTACCCCCAAAAATCCTGCTAGTGCGAGAGGGCTGGGATAACCCACACTGGGAGAACTAGGTGGATCCAGGCACCGGTGAGACTGATGGTGCTGAAGTGGCTGGGACTGAGGAACATCAGAAAAGAGTGAGAACAGTGCGGGAATACATTACATAGTATATACTGTGTGTTTCTGTGTATCTAAAACCACCTTCAGAGCACTTCTTGACTTTGCAGTAGTCCCACTGCAGTTTTCCTTGTCTTTTTGTAAAACACCAAGGCTTATCATCCCCATCTGGGTTCCTAAAATGTAGAATAAATAACAAAACAACCCATTTTTTGAGTTATGAGGAATTATTTTACAAACAGCCAAAAAGTACCTGAGAGGGAAAGTATTAATGTTTTCCGATACAAAGTAACAATTAGTGTTATATATTACAAATGATTATTATTTAATTTAACTAATAATAATTTAAAGACTAATATGAGGGTATGGATTGAGAAATAAACATGTAAACTAATGCTGCAGGTGTACATATAGAATATTTCTGACTTTGGTGCCCCCCAGTGGTAAGATTACCCATTTCCCAAAGTGAATCCACCTTGAATGAATGGGCTGAAACTCACATAAGGATTTGAAATTTAAAAAAAACATATTAATACATTAAAATAAACGTCTAACTGATAGAAAAAGTCAATATAATTTGATTATACCTGCAGTGGTTGTTATATTCCAGTCCGTTAAAGTCTGAGTACATGGTAAAAGGGTCCTCCCCGTTTGACACAATGAAGTAGGAGTGCCAGTCCAGACACTCCTGCCCGTCCTCTGTCATACTGGCAACACCCCTGTATGTCTCTCCATTTCCCACATAACAGTCATTGGGCGCTATACAAGAAGATTGTATGAGAGGCAATGTGTGAGCTCAAAATGTCAAAAATAAATACACAGGAGACGACTGTTTTAACAACCAAAAACACAAATACAATCAGACAAACAAAGAAAATCTAATAACTAAGCTGTGTTTTTCAGTGTATTACAGAAGATACAGACTGCTAAAGACAAAGTGGTTTTGGGGCTTCCCATAATCGGTCAATATGCTGTTAGATTCTGCGAAATGGCACTTTTAAATAGGAATTTAAAGTAAATAACACCAACTTAAGCATCAGGAACTACAGTAAAAGTGGTGGCTGACTCTGGCCTTTATAAAGTCTTTACCGTTTTCACAGAACTTCCCAGAATATCCATTAGGACAAGTACAGCGGAAGCGGCGGTTCCCTTTCGTGCAAGAGCCTCCATTCTGGCAAGGATTGGGTTCACAGGGTGACGCTGGCACTGATACAGATAAGACAAAAACAATTAAATAGTGCACAATAGCAGGGGTGCAGCAAAGGATTCTGGGGACCTCAAAGAATATTGGCCACCCCTGGTTTTGTTTTATGTTTTTGGGCCCCATTTTGCAAAAACATTTACTTTTCTACTACTTCTACTACAGATCCTCTACAGGGATCAAATAGGGCCTGAAGGGATCCTTTTAGGCAAAGAAAATACTGTTTAAAGACATGGTTAAGGGTTATTTTCCTGTATTCTTTATTTGAAATTGGACAGAACAGTCCGAGTACTGGTTGGTAAAGCTGAATTATAATAAGATGCTATGACTTCATTACTGTGCAGATATGAGTGTCTAGTCTGGAATTGTTTCCTGCTTCTCCATAGCAAGGTACTAAATGTAATGTTCGACTCAGTTTGTCAAAAAATAATTTTAACTGATGTGAAAGATGGGGTTTAGGATACTCACATGACTTGCAGTCGGGGCCTTGGTAGGGAGGTCTGCACTTGCACTCATAAAATGGATGTTTTTTTAGGTTGACGACACAGTCACCTCGGCCACATTTGACATTCTCGCAAACATTTCTCACTAAATATTCAAAAGTAAAAATTAGCCACATATGAACAGTGTGTATAAACATTAAGATATTGGAATACGAAGAAAAGGTTTAATATATTTTAGGTTTTATAACCCAAAACAATCAGAATATTAACTGAGAATGCACTTTTTCTTTTAAATAAAAAGTAGTGCAGTTCTATTGCTTTTTAAAATTAATTTATAATGAAGGCCAAGTTGGGAATTCCTACCTTTTTGACACCTCTTGCCAATGTAAGGCTCAATACATAAGCAAGTGAATTCTGTTTCGGATTTACTTTGGCACGAGCCACCATTGAAGCAAGGGTTTGGATCACAGACATCTGGAAATAGAGGGATAGAGAATGAGTTTACATGTGGAAAGGTAAGATGGCGAGCGACACAATCACGTAGTAAGTTTTCCGAGCCACTTACTTGTCTCGTGCAGGAGATCAAACAGCCAGTCGCTTACATCAAAAGAAGTGCTAGGGCTGACGGTGACGTAGTCATATCCATAATCTACGTCTGCCAACAACAGAGAGCTGTTATTATAAATATTGTAATAACAAAAAAATATAACTTAAAACTTTTGAGCAATTAACAAAGGGAAAACAGTACTCAAAATAAGAGACAGTAATCAAGGGAAAACAAAACAGCTCTGTAAAGTGCATACATATCTTATATATCATAAATAATCATCCATTACTCATTCTCACCTTAAGGTTAAACTATTCTATATATGTATATACATTAAAATAATATACAACAAAATATCTTGTGTCTCTAAAAATGTGAAACCAAATAGCCAAGAGACAAATATGAAACACATGCTAACAAAGTCAAAGTCAATAGTTGAAACTTTGTGTAACCACATAGATGAACTGAAAGGATTCTTACAATAGGCGTCGTCCAGCTGAAATGACAAAATCACAGTAGAGAACAGATCAACAAGCTTTCTTTCCCTGAGAAACCTTTTTTTTTTTCTTACAGGTCAAACTTCAAAGATGTTAAAAAACGTACATTCGGGTCATATCCGTGAACACTTAGGACACTTATGAGCAAGAAGACCCCTGCAGCCAGCATGTTGCTGTGTGTAAATCTCAGCACAATGTACAAGACTGAAGAGCCAGGGATTGACTTCAGTCTCCCAAACCCCCTCGATATACTACTGATACATGTCAATCTTTAGCCAGCCGCATTGATTCTGTGGGAGGTTGTGTGATTTAGGACATTGCTTGTGCAAACTGGTTTCACGTGTTTAACCTTGTTTTATTTGCTTCAATATGAAGGTTGTCCATCTCAACTTTAAACTCTTTCTCAACAAACCTTCACTTTGCATCCGTTCAGATTTTTGGAATTGTTTTCTTTCTTTTTTGGATATCAGACCATGAAAAACCCACATTTGCAAATATATCTCACTAATGTCCAGGTTGGTAGTTACTACCTTTTTATCCTGTGAGTATGATAAAGTATGAGTTTACATGTTGAGAGGTAAGATTCTGTGGGAGTTTGTGTGTTTTAGGACATTGTTTCCCCAGTGGCCGTGGTAAAATATTGGTAAGATCACAATAAAAAAAAGCTACTCATATTGAGTAACCAAAATACATGGTATCTGTGAAAGATAGATAATTTGATATTTACATTTTTTTTATTTTTGTTTTAAGTCGATGATGATAGTTTTGTTTTTTTAATATGATAGTCAGGGTCAATAATGTCCAAAGAAAAACAAGTCAACTTTGGGATAATTGTCTAACAAACATCAGGAGTGCAACATTTTAGAGATAATTTATGATATTAATTAACAGAATATGAGATAATTGTTCTGACTGACTGCACTGTTTTTTTGTCCTGAGGTCTTTGGTCTTGTTTGCCTTCACCCTCTTTTCTTTCTCAGATTTATCATGCTAGTGTCCAATTAAATAAAAGTTTATATGGGTGAATGTTGTACAATGTCAAAAGGTTTTAATGAATAAAACCTTAAAGGACAAGAAAGATGCATGCACAAAAAATACATATTATGGTCTTCGATGCATCTAGTGCATCACATTGCATTTCTATTAAACTTATCAAAACTAATCATTATAATGATTATAGATTATCCATTTTAATATGAACTCCTAAGATTAACTTAAATGTGTTGACTTACAAGACTCACTCAGTAATCTTTATGTACATTTTATAGTTATCTTTATTAACAGTTGCTGCAAGCATGCTTACAAGAACATTAACATTGAAATATGTATGTAATTACACAACAATGAGGTACACATGAGTTAAAACACTAATACATATGAGGTAATGTGTTATTCTGTGGATGGAGTGAGAGTGACAAACCTTTTCTAACTAATTTTTACAAAAGAAAAGTGTATTATTGACACAACAGGACATTACAGAGTCAGTGGCAGCATGTTTGTAAGTCACATATACAGTACAGTATGGCCATATGCATCCTTATGAGATTAAATGATAAGCGATCCAGTCAATAAATCTGCGGACGTTGGCGTAGACACCAGGCATGTACTTCTTGCCGCAGCCGTCTCCCCAGCTCACCACACCAACAACATAGTGGGTCCCATTACGCTCACACACCAGAGGGCCGCCAGAGTCACCCTGTAGGGGACAGAGGGGTGGTTTTTTATTAGGTCTCTCTTTTATTTTCCCATGAATACTCTAATGAAAAAAAATCACATCTCTCACAGACCTGGCAGGAGTCAACGCCTCCTTTCATGTTGCCTGCACAGAACATGCTGTCATCCAGCGAGTTTCCGTAAACGTGGGGAGCTTGACATTTCTCCTGGGAGATCAGGAGAACGCGAGCATCCAGCAGCTGGTTGGTACCGTACTTCTCTGAGACAGGAAGAAAGACAGTTAAACTGTAATGTTCAAAGTCTCACGGTATGTGCTTGGAGATAAAGAAGCTTAGGGACACAAACAAATTAGCATTTTTTCATATTCTTGTCTTCATGTCAACATTGTGATTGTTGTGATTTTTGCTTATTGTTTGCTACAGTTTATATGCATAAAGTGGTATTTTGGTTTGAAACCTTAATTTCTGGTTGACATATGAACACAGTTGACTAATACTTAAGGTTCTGCATGAATGTTTGCCATTTGCACTTTACATTAAGTGTACATTAAGATTTGTGCTAGATATATTGTGCAATCCTATTCACTTTAGTAATCAAAACAAAATCTGATGTTATTAATATTATGTAAATATTTTAAGGACTCTATGAAGCAGACTTCTATTTTACTCTTTACACTTGAGTCTTTCGTACATTTTTGTGGCTGTTGAGTATCTAATATACTAATATTTTGACATTTAGAAAATCAATTCAATAATACAGCACTTGAAATGACCAAGTAGAAATACATTACCCTGTTTTCTGATGTAAATGCGTGATATAGGTCTAGGTGAATTGGATGAAATTCCATGAGCTGCCAAAGTTCAAAACATTTTCAATTTTATTGGTTTAATCTCATAACTAGGCTGTTCTTTTGGTTTTATGTTCTTAAAAGTCGCTTCATTTCATCTCAGATATACTTAAATTCCTTTTAACCAAATACAAACTACCAGTTTACATCCCATCCCCTACCATTAGCTTTTATAGAAATAAGTTTTTGTCATATTTGCCTGAAACTTTCACTATATCCTTCTCCACTATAGCTCTCTTAGCTTTGATTGGTTGTTTTTGTAAAAGCATGATGGATTCTTGCAAATGCTATTAGGAGCACTATGAGAAAAAAATATATATATATGATAAAAGTTACCTAATGTAGCTTTAACTCATACTGATCATTATGTTATGTCAGTTTGTCACACAGCCTGTAGCTGAAAGTGCAGATTAAAATGATGCTTACGTGTTTCAGTCACGCCCCATCCTGAGATCACACACTCAGTCCCACTGTCAAAGACCTGGTTTGGCAGGCAGGCAGTCTTTACAAAGCGGGTTTCTTTGGCACAGTAGGGTTTGTCCAGGACTTTCAGCTGAAGCATGGCTGCACAGTGGAGGCACGAAGCAAAGAACGGTGCAGTACTGTATATCAGTACATTTCATTTAATGATGCACAGAATAAAAAAACTGGTTTCCATTTTAAGTGGATACTATAATTACATTTAACTGAGTACTAAAGTGAATAACTGATATTTTTTCTCACCAACATCATTAATCATTATGAAGAGCAAAAGGGCTCTCCTTGTAATCCTCGTGCACAATAGCCTTCTCCACTGGAATGACCTGATCGTATACTTCATCCTTCTCTATGTCCACTCCTCCCAGCACCACCTGCATTTCCATTCCGCTTTTACTGCAGAAAAACAAACCACACCCCAAGAGAGTTAAATAAAGGTCAGGTGAGTGTGTCCATGTACAAATTCAAACAGTGTTGAAACTGCTTCTATGCACCAAAACAACACAGATACCAGGAGCGTACATGCAGTGTGCAGCAGTGAGCACCCAGCAGGACTTGAGGAGGATGCCCCCACAGATGTGGCTGAAGGGCCCGGAGAAGCCTTTGGATCTGGTCTGCAAGGAAACCTGCCAAGGATGAGCCCCAGGAAGAGACTTCTTCCCTCCAAAGATCCTGGCCGAGCGGCCGGGCTGCGGCCTTCCACATTGGGAGAAGTGGGTAGCAGTGGCGTCCGGTTTGGCTGGAGTTGGATCTGTTTCATAGATTGTTGCTGTGGTGGGTGCAGCTGGGAGGGAAATTGAATGAGAGTTATGGAGGCCAGGATATTTCTGTGTGTGAGTATGTGTGTGTGTATGTGTGTGTGTTTTACCTTCAGAGCATTTCCTAACTTTACAATAGTTCCACTTCAGTTTGTCACTTTTATTAATGAAGCACCAAGGCTGACAGTCTCCATCGGGGTTCCTTGAATACACAAATTTTAAGTATATATTAAGTACATATAAAATATACATATTTCTTTACAAAATACAACAAATAAAACTAACTCACAACCTGGCAATCCAAAGGTCATTTTTATTTATGCATTTTAACATCCCTTTACTTATTCTGTAAAACATTTATAAGGATTTATTAACATGAATTAATTACTGACAACTAACATTTAAAGAAGCTGCAGAGTTTTACAAAAGCAATCATCAGCAAACAAAAAGTTTTGTCAGACCTCACGTGTACCGTCTCTGGCCACAGCCGAATACAAACATGGTTATGTCAAAAGTGAACATATGCAATATTTACACAAGATGACTCCTCACCTGCAGTAATTGTGTGGCCCAATTCCATCAAAACCTCCATACTCCTTGAAGGGATCTCCCCCTTTTTGCAGGATGAAATAGGAATTCCAGTCCAGACACTCTTCCCCTTCAACTGTCACACTCACCATGCCATGGTAAAACTCTCCGTCCTCTTGGTAACAGTCGTTTGGCCCTAGAAAAATTAAAGTTTTCCTTCAGCTGCAGATGATGAAAGTGGGCTTTAAAGCGTGGCTTACTATTTAGGACAATGTATTTACCGACTTCACAGAACTTTCCACTGAATCCATCCTGGCAAAAACAGTGGAAGGAGGAGCGTTTGGGGCCCTTTACGCAAGAGCCTCCATTCTGACAGGGATCGGGCCTACAGGAGGAGGCTGTGAATGCATGCAACAAGATCAGTGTCAAGTGATGTCCAATGCATATAATATAATGAGAAAACAAGTTACATCTCCATTAAAGCAGACCTTTCTTGCAGTTGGGTGGTTTGAAAGGAGCCTTGCACTTGCACTCGTAGAACGGAGCAGTAGATGTGACGACACAGCTTCCATGGCCACACTTCACGTTCTTGCAAACATCTTTCACTGAAAAAACACATGGCTCATTCATTTTGTTGTCGATTTTAAGTTATTACACACATAATCACAATTTTCATTTGTTTATTAGAATTACTGTGTATAACTTTTGTAACTAGCACCAGGGGGCACCAGAGTCACAATTATTCCAATCCTTCATGAAGCTTTAATATGAAAGGTGAAAAAAACAGCATGGAGAAGAAGTCTGTAGTATTGTGCTCAGGGCATTTAAATCTCAGAATTTCTTACAATAAAATTAAGAAATAGTGAGATTAAAGAGTAATTGAAACTCTGACCTGCATGGTGTTATTAAATTTAGTAGAAAATAATAATGTATGTATGTCAAAGAAACACACAAGAGTTCAAAATACATATTTTCTGGGTATTCACATACATTACAGTCTCAACTGTTTAATTGTGGCTAAATGAGCACAGGAGGACAGTTGTACCTGTCTGACACTTCTTTCCTGAATAAGGCTCAGGGCACAAACATTTGAAGGCCCCATCAGCATCGTGGTCGCAGACGCCTCTGTTCAAACACGGGTTTGGATCACACTCATCTAAATGGAGACATAATCAAAATGTTTGCTGATATAAATACCTTACATGCTGTCTCAGCAGAAGAAAAATCAGTCAGGAGCAGAGTACAATTGATTGTTTGGATGTCTTGATCAATGCATCTTACAACAGCGGAGATAAACTACAGCGTGCATTTAGTATATACAGGCAATAAAACCCTTGAGAGGTAATTTACCTGAGATATTCATGAGTTCATACAACCAGTCATCTAGAGTCAAATCCAAGTCTTCTGCAGGGCTTTCAGTGGGATAATCGTAATAATAATAATCTGTGAGGAAAAAAGAGGAATTTAAGCATTACGGTCAATAAAGTCAGTTTTAGTTAACTGGAAACTAATAAAAGTGTTTTTACCATCAGCGTCATCTGTTTCTGTGATTACCTGAAACAATTAGAAAATATATAAATGATTTATGACTGTTTTCTTTCCCAAATATTAATAAATAAATAATAAAAACGTAATTTATTATATTCTATGCGCAATTGTGCATTCTTACATACAACTCCTGTCCAAGCGCAGTCAGTGCAAACAGCTGTAAGAGCAAAGCTATTAAGCAGCCCATGTTGATGTAGACTCTGGCCATGATGGGGCCAGTCTATGGTTTACTTTTTGCTCAGAAAAGTCTTAAATAATCGGGAGACCCTCATAACACTCCACCCACCTGTTAATCATTAGGACCCTGCATTGATTTGACAGGAGTTACATGTGATTCAATACTTTGTCTTTTTTGCCCTGTGACCTTTATTTCCATTGAGGTCATCAAAAAGTAAAGGCAGTAAGCAAGTAGCTCTCATTAAAAACATATTAAAAGAATACAAAAAGCACCTTTGTTCTCCCTAAAATTTTTTAAATCTATATATATATATTTTAGCTTTACATTACTGACCTGAGGTTTCTCAATATGCAAGATGGGATTTGCTTTGTTGAAGCACGCAGCTGAAATATGCAAAATACCATTACACAATATTACATATATATACAAATATCCTTTTATGCTGTATACCTCTTCTACATGACACTGGAACTCTGAAAGTAATTGCTACTATAGTTAAAAGACCTGGTGAAACTGGTGTACAGCCCAGTTTCTTTGCAGATTATCTTTATAGAGACCATAGTTATCATATATGTTTAAATGTATCAGTTTTTTAAAATAAAGTTAACTAAACAAAGCATAAAATGAGCTTGCACAGATATGCAATGTCTTACAGTGCACCTTACACCTTACACATGCATTTTTAACATTTGCATTACTAATGTAAGTTTAAACAGCTCCAAGTGTTTACTGATTTTCAAAGTCTGTCGTGGTGTGTTCAGGCGCTGTTGGGAAGCTCTGACCTTTACTGATCTTTGTGTGGTATGTCATTAATAACCCTAAACATGCCAAAAAACTCGGACAAAACACCATGATGATGTTCCACTACAACAAACAACGACAAACAACAAAAATGAACAAAATCATTATTTCAGACACAGTTGTGATTCGTCAGCTGAGCTGTTTTTTATTCAAACAGTGATCACTTTACAGTGGGAGCAATAGCATATTCTCAATATACAGCACTATATATAATGTACATGGGGAGTATGTGGAGAAATCAGAGTTAAGATCCGACCACTATCTCTCTCTCCCTGTTAACCTCCTCTGACAGGTAAAATGGGTCATGACTTGTTTGCAGTGTCAACCCAGTCAAAAAACGTATTCAGGTTACTGACAAGGTGGAGTGCTTGTAAACCAGAAATCATATGCCATTCAACTTCGTCCTTGGTTTTACTTCAGATAGTCCATATTAATTTCATACAACACTCCAAATTCTTGTTGATGTCTCCACAGACACTTCAAAACTAGCAACCAGTGGATAATCATCATAAGTGCCTCAACCTTTGATTGTTGAACAGTATGGTGTAAATGCATCTAATATTCATGCATCATTCTAGTGGTGTAATAAACCACATGCAGAAAAAAGTCATTAACACAGTGTTTAGGTCAGTCTATCTGCATACCACTTGATGTTTGTTTAGAAGAACCAGTCTTAACCCAGAATATTCACATTTCCATTGCAATCTCCCAATGTGCTAACCTTTAAGACTGTTCTCTTAAAGCATACAATTCATTGTCTTCAGGCCCAGAGAATATGGCATAAAATCTGGTACAATTCACAGGTTTTTCACCAGAAACTGGAAAATTAGGGGGTAGGGTGCAGTTTCCAGTAAGTAAAAATAATATAAAAAGTCTATAAATATAGGCATATAATGCTTACGTATGGGAGCAGAGTCAGCAGCAATAGTCAGTCCTCACTATCAAACTCCATGACAACAGATCAAAAATAAGTCACAGCGTGTCCAGATGCTTGTCAGTCTTTTTGTTCTGTCTGCTCGCACAGTGAGCCTCCTTAAGTTCAAAGTACAGTCTCAGGTACCATCCGCATAATAAAACTTCATGTTCATGTATATTCTGATTTGCGGATGTAGTTGGAAGGCACATAGCCTCGCCGGCCTTCTGCCTCTCCCAGCCACCATTCACTGTTGCCGTTCAAGTCCTGGAACTCCAGTATCCGCAGCCGCTGATTGGCTGTGATGCTCATTTCATTGGCGCAACGAGCTTCAAAGGAGTAGATAGCGTAGTAAATCTAAAAATAAACAAATGAATAAAAACAATGTTAGTTTGTGTTTTTTCAATCTTAAAAGCAGTATTAATGAATGATTTCTGCCCCCTGGTGGCACCGGAATAAACTGTAAGCATAACATTGACATAAGGCAAACACATTAAAAGTTGCCCATTTACAACATTAGCATTCATTTGGAGGCTTTTATTCTTTTGTTAATATAAAAATATTGATTAATACAGCTTTAAATTAATCTATTTTTAATAGTATTTTTTTAGCAACTTGCTTAATTTTTCTACAAACGAACAAAAACTCATGCTGTCGGAAAGTTTTAAAAAAGTTGTTTTCGTCGGATTAAAGTTCACGTAATAAATGGTCTACTCTTATTTTTGTCTGGTAAATGTCTAAATGTCTCATAGCAGTCAAAAATCTTACCTGATGACCATCTAATTCACTCGCTGGTTCTGGTTCTGGTTCTGGTTCTGGCTCCGGCTCAATGTACTCATCTCTGGAGTAAGTAGACCTCTTCTGGCCACCGTTATCTCCATTTCTCCACTGGTATGAACTGTAAGATTTGTCTGTTTGTCCATACCGCTGTGAACGACTGTTTCTGTGTGAAGAATAAGAGTCTGTCTCCGAGAGGTCCGACATCTCCTTCTGGCTGCTCGTACTTGCATAACTCGTATCACACGTGTCTCTGTGATTAGCTGGATGCCGGTAAGAAGGCTCTGTGTCTCTGTGACTGGGGGAATTTCGGTGTGTTTGGTCTGAGAATTCCCTGCGGTTTGAGGGATTTCGGGGCGATGAGTTTATGGAGTTGCTCTGACTGGCAGAGTCAGGGTTGGGTACGTCTCTGTGGTGACTCCTCCGGGATGAGGCAGAGTCCAGCGAAGGGTGTGGCGATGAATGACTTGGGGGTTGAGATGTGGAAAAGCTGACAGTGGCGGTTTCCTGGTTAAAGGTCAGTGTGCTGTTGCTGTTTTGGCGGGAGAAAACAGGGGAGGAGCCGCCATAGCCTGACTCATTGGACGAATGGCTCTCGATGGACACATCTGATTGGCTCCTGCGTGGGTTGTAGGGTTTGAGGAAGGAGGTGTACACGAAACCCTTGGTGACTGCAAATTAAAAAAAGTAAGAGAAGACATGAAATTAGATTTTAGCGCTGTGTTTCCCCCAAAATCAGAAGCTCAGACATCCAAATATGTGGCTGATTGGAGTACAAATGACCTACCTCCGTTATCAATTAGCCAGCGGTTGTTGCTACCCATGGGGTCTTGCTGCTTGATCACACCCACAAGGTCTCCCTCTTGTATAGAGACATCCAGATCTTGGGCTGCATTGAAGTTTCTATCTGCCTGGTAAAGTTTCTCAGGACCATAACGTACCAGAAGTGCTGCACGGTGCTCATCTGTCTGCGTGGTGTAGTTAGGCTGAAAGGAACCAGGACAAGACTCATGGTTAGATCGTGTTGCAGTGGTGAAACTCCTCCTGTATTACTTATTAAAATATATGTATGGCACAAATAGGATGAGTCCAACTCACAGGTCCCTGCAGTGACTTTTTAGAAGTCTGCTTTTCCAGAGTCTTCTTCTCGAAGGGCTTTTTTGTGGAGATGGCCGGAGGCAGGTTCTCCGGACAGAAGCTGAAGCCCTGCAGAAGCTGGAGAACTCGTCCATACTCTTCCTGGAACTGTGCAATCAGGTTGCTCTCTGTGCCAGCTTTGTTAGAAAACTGGAGGTAAAGAAAAAGGTCTGAGTTAGTAACAGAATGTACAACAACTACATGTAAGTGTCCAACTTCAACACCTTCATAACAAAAAGGCACACTCACAACCTGAAGGAGGGGCTTCAGCTCTCCCATTGTCGTCTTCATGAAGTCCTTCTGAGCTTGAGCGAAAGCCCTCACACAGCCAGTAAACAGCTCCTCTGCTCCACTGTGGAACTTGGGCAGCTCGTCCAAAAGTTGGGCGTTGAGCGCCTCATAGTTGTTGCGTGCCACCTGTAGCTCCTCCTGGACACGGCGGTCCTTGAGGCGGTCGGCGCGCTCCTTGCAGTTGTCGTAGTCTAGCAGCTTGTCAAAGCGCTTTTGGATGAGTTTGTGCGGCCCAGCGAACATGAGGAGGAGCTGGGTGAGCGGGTTTATGACTAAGGCCTCTGTGCGCTCCTTCTGCTCAGGGAATGAGGAAAGGGAGTTGACAGATGATGTGATCAGCGGTCATTCCCAATGCATTTCTAGAACAGCTAAATGAGGCTAGAAGAGGAAGAAGACTTACAAATTGTGTGAACTGTTTGTCACTGATGCAGCGGTGAGCTCTTTGGAAGCGCTCGGGGTCGAGGATACTGCGCTCTGTGTAGATGTCACAGAAACTGATGGCTGCCAAGACCTTCACAGATGCTGATTCCTAAAGAGAAACATTTTATCACAATATATTAATGTTATATGACAAAATTAAAATTAGGACTGAATATTTAATCAAGAACTTAATTAGATGTACACAGCAAGTATTTGGAAATACTTAAGATGCGATTAGATTAAAAATGGCATGAATTAGGCACAGCATGTTTATGTAAGTATGTCTACTTTGATATGGTCAAATACACAAAGACTCACAGTTGTTACCGATTATGGTAAAAATGCTCGTACCCGTATATGTTGCAGATACAAGGAAATGTCCCTGATAAAAGACTTGATGAGTCTCTCCTGCAGCCTGAACCTCTTCTCAGCCTCATCAAAGGCTTCATCTTTAATCTGGAAAAGAAGACAGAAAAGAAAGAAAGATCAGAACAAACACGTTTTCATTCACAACATTCGGGCATTTCTCGCTCCACTTAGGTTAAGAGACTTAGCCAGCAGCAGTAATATACCTGGGGTGAAATTCCTGTGAGGTGTTTGAGGTGGCTGCTGACCCGGTTGGATTTTTTGATAATGGAATGCATGCTCAGCTTGGAGATCTTGTCAATGAATGTGTCCTCGTCGCCTTTCC